TGGTCCCCCAATATTGCAAAATTATCTCGTGTCTTTTTCTCTCATTTGCTGTGCGGCTCCTCTTTCAGATACCGAACCCTACTCCACACAGAACGTGGAGGGAGTCATACTCGACACAATTGTTTATTTTTAAATTGCCAGTGTGTGTCATATGTACCAGCCGGTCGGATGGTCAGACAGACATACAGTCGGTCACTTAGCCTTTTGTATATAAAGATAGATAATTTGTAAATTATGTATACATAATATTTTAACATAAATATATAAAAGATACATTATATATGTATATGTGATATCTAACTAAATTAAAACAAAGGTCCTTAATTTGGTCCAAATGGAAATCTAAAATATATATACAAAAACTTATATACCAAAAGAATTTATATAACAAAAAGATAAAAATGGCTTTTGTGCGCCTACAACCTAAATCCTAAATTAACTCTGACATTTGCTAAAATGTACCAATAGACAAAAATTTCTGTATTACCAGGGCTCAATTACTATAGTTATACCTGGGGATCCCACTAAATGTAAACATTGTGCCCCTATAATCTTAAGAAAGCAACTATAAAATAGAGAGAAAAATAGGAATGCCTCACTATTGCCTTGCCTAAATTTCCCTTGCTTATAATACCGATAGCCATAAAAATATCCCATATTGGACAAACACACTCTAACACAATAAGTAACAAATTAAAAAATTAAATCTTTGGCAGTTACAAATTGGCTTGATACAATGGGACCCTAAGAACCCCACTCCCCAGTTAAAATAGTTAATATGGTTCAATTTAAGTTAAAACAGAGCCTTCACCGATTAAAACTTATTATGTAAAACCCAATTAATTAAGGGGTGACTAGCCCCAGTGCTTTTCTACTCGATAATACAATCCTGTCTCTTCTTAAACTTGGAAAAATCAGGGTGCTGCCTTTGTTGTCTTGGGCTGTCATAACAAAACACCAGACTGGGTGACTTCAACGGCATTTATTTTCTCACAGCTCTGGAGGCCGGAAGGTCCAAGATGAAGGTGCTGGCTGATTCCGTTTCTAGTCAGGCCTCTCTCTCTTCCTGGCCTGTGGACAGCAGCCTTCTTGCTGGGTGCTCACCTGGCCTTCCCTCTGATAGCACTTTGTAATTCCCTAGTCATTAGGGCCCTCCCTTACATCCGTATTTAACGTGAGTTACCCTTCCGAAAGGTCTGATCTCCAACACAGTCACATGGGGAGCTGGGACATTAACATGGGAATTTGGGGGGGGCTCAAACGTTCAATCCGGAACAGGAGCCCCGTGGTGGATTACTGCAACACTAATGCTTCGGTCCCATCCATCAGGGCCCCCATACCCGTATCCAATATTTTTTTAAAAATAC